GAACCTCTTTCTCCTCCCTCCATGTTTGACCTGTACAATAATGTATCTAGTGCACTACCACCCAAGCTTCATGTTTTAACCTCCTCAATGCCAGCATGTTTCTTAAAAAAAAAAAAAGGGTAATAAATTAGATTACCTTGGGGTGTCCACTTTCCAAAAAAGGGCAATTTGGAGGTATTTGTACCGTCCTGGCATTTTTATCAGTTTTGTATAACAGAAAGTAAAGGAAACAGGTTATTTTTTTCCAAAAAGATTGGTCTTTTTTCCTTATATAGTAAAAAAATGCAACCAAAGACAGTTTATCTGTCTCAAAAATTATATAAAATTCAGTTGGGTACAGTGTTGCATAAGAGGGTAGTTGTCAGCCAAACGATCCCAGCACTGAAACATTGTAACAAAGTGGTATTATGGGCTGGTACTGAAGGGGTTAAGGAAGACAGATGTCTATCCAGTTCAAGCTCTCATAGACTCCAGCGTGGTTGGTCCACAAAAATGCATCCTACTGGCAGCTGCAAGCACACAATCGGATCCTTCAGGATGGAGAGTGGGGGACGGGCCCTGTAAATATGTCACAATTAGCAGCCCCTTCTTCCCTGAATGAACACAATGAGTGATCAGTACTGATTCATTCATAACCAAAGCATAGTAAACTGTGGGTTTTTTTTTGGAGGGTGGAGTGTCAGGTTGGCTGTATTGGGCCCTGTGGTTTCTAATAGCCACCTTGCCCGTATATTGACCCCTTAACCTCTTTCTCCAACCTCAATGCTTGACCTGTACAATAATGTATCTAGTGCACTACTATTTATTTATTTCAGGTACTTATATAGCGCCATCAATTTACACAGCACTTTACATATATATTGTACATTCACATCAGTCCCTAACCCTCAAGGGGTGTACAATCTAAGGTCCCTTACCCTCAAGGGGCGTACAATCTAAGGTCCCTAACCCTCAAGGGGCGTACAATCTAAGGTCCCTAACCCTCAAGGGGTGTAACAATCTAAGGTCCCTAACTCACATTCATACATACACATACAAGGGCCAATTTAGACAGGATCCAATTAACCTACCAGTATGTCTTTGGAGTGTCGGAGGAAACCAGAGTACCCAGAGGAAACCCACACAGGCACAGGGAGAACATGCAAATACCAGGCAGGTGGTGCTGTGGTTGGGATTTGAATCAATGACCAAAGAACTGCCAGGCAGAAGTGCTAACCATTTAGCCACTGTGCTGCCCACCAAGATTCATGTTTTAACCCCCTCAATGCCAGCTTGTTTCTAAAAAAAAAAAAAAGGGTAATAAATTAGATGGGGTGTCCACTTTCAAAAAAAAGGGCAATTTGGAGGAATTTGTACCGTCCTGGCATTTTTATGAGTTTTATAACAGAAAGTAAAGGAATCAGGTTATTTTTTTTCAAAAAGATATATAGATGTATAGTAAAAAAAATAATTAAATACAACCAAAGACAGTTTATCCGTCTCAAAAAAATGATATAAAATTCAGTTGGGTACAGTGTTGCATAACAGAGTAGTTGTCAGTCAAACGATCCCAGCACTGAAACATTGTAACAAAATGGTGTTATGGGTTGGTACTGAAGGGGTTAAGGAAGACAGATGTCTATCCAGTTCAAGCTCTCATAGACTCCAGTGTGGTTGGTTCACAAAAATGCGTGGTTAATCAGTGACGTCACCACGCACGCCAACCCACGTGTCCCTAACTCACATTCATACATACACATACTGTGGACAATTTAGACAGGAACCAATTAACCTACCAGCATGTCTTTGGAGTGTGGGAGGAAACTGGAGTACCTGGAGAAAACCCACGCAGGCACAGTGAGAACATGCAAACTCCAGGCAGGTGGTGCCATGGTTGGGATTCGAACCAACGACCCGAGTACTGCCAGGTAGAAGTGCTAACCACTAAGACACTGTGCTTATTCACCAGCTTTTGGTGAGTGTGCAATTTGATGGGGAGTTAAAGCACTGGAGTTTGCACTGGTGATTGAAGACTTCATGGCTTCATTTACTGAGGATCATATGCAATATTGATGTGTGGACTTTATTGCATGGACTCTGTGAGGACTCTTTAGTTCTATTTTATTAATTAACACACATATCTTTATTAATTATTGTACACATTTGGTGGTGGATTTATTTATTTATGCTTAAGGGTAGCGCTATTATTTGTGGTTTATTTTATATTTTATTATATCTAATCTTATCACATTTTGGATTATAATTTGCAGTGGGTTAATAGTAGCAGCTCCCATATCATCATATCATGTTATTTTGTTTGAACCCATAGGCGCGATGAATTGAATCTTGTGGTTTCTGTCAGTGAGCAAAACAGACATCTTTCAGGATTTTACATCTAAATAGTAAAAAAAAAAGAATTAAATGCAACCAAAGACAGTTTATCTGTCTCAAAAAAAATGATATAAAATTCAGTTGGGTACAGTGTTGCGTAACAGAGTAGTAGTCAGCCAAACGATCCCAGCACTGAAACATTGTAACAAAGTGGTGTTATGGGCTGGTACTGAAGGAATTAAGGAAGACAGATGTCTATCCAGTTCAAGCTCTCATAGACTCCAGTGTGGTTGGTTCACAAAAATGCATCCCCCCCCCCCCCCACACCCCTTCATTAGCTAACAGTTGCCAGTTTACCTCGCAGGGGAAAAAAAAAAATTCTTTCTTGAGTCCACAAATGATTTTGTCTGGCTGAAGACATTCCTATACTACCCAGTTGTAATTCTAACCATGGATTCCATTAATTGTAGGAAAACTATCCAGTCCATATTTAGTAGAGATGAGCGAATTATTCAAAAATTCGATTCGGCTGATTCGCCGAATTTGCGGGAGAAATTCGATTTATTCGCCGCGAATTTAACTTATTAAAAGGGTTTCTAGGCTTCAGAGAGCCTTTATATTAGTGCAGAACACTGTACCTTTAATTTAAATGCCCTTGGAGTCTGCTGGGGAAGAGAAATAATACTGTCAGTCAGTATGACATGCAGATGAGTGCCGTCGATCTTAGAATCACCGCACACTTCACTCATTTGGGCAGTCACAGGGCACGACGAAGAAGAAGAAGAATGAAAAGAAGAAGAAGAAGAATGAAAAAAAGAAGAAGAAGAATGAAAAGAAGGATGAAAAGAAGAAGAAGAATGAAAAGAAGAAGAAAAAGAATGAAAAGAAGAAGAAGAAGAATGAGAGAAAGAATGAAAAGAAGAGAGTGAAAAGAAGAATGAGAAGAATGAAAAGAAGAATGAAAAGAAGAAGAAGAGGAAGAATGAAAAGAAGAAGAAGAAGAAGAAGAATGAAAAGAAGAATGAAAAGAAGAAGAAGAATGAAAAGAAGAAGAAGAAGAATGAAAAGAAGAAGAAGAAGAATGAAAAGAAGAAGAATGAAAAGAAGAAGAATGAAAAGAAGAAGAAGAATGAAAAGAAGAAGAAGAAGAATGAAAAGAAGAAGAAGAAGAATGAAAAGAAGAATGAAAAGAAGAAGAATGAAAAGAAGAAGAAGAATGAAAAGAAGAAGAAGAAGAATGAAAAGAAGAAGAAGAGGAATGAAAAGAAGAAGAAGAAGAATGAAAAGAAGAATGAAAAGAAGAAGAAGAAGAATGAAAAGAAGAAGAAGAATGAAAAGAAGAAGAAGAAGAATGAAAAGAAGAATGAGAAGAAGAATGAAAAGAAGAATGAAAAGAAGAATGAGAAGAATGAAAAGCAGAATTAAAAGAAGAAGAAGAAGAATGAAAAGAAGAATGAGAAGAAGAATGAAAAGAAGAAGAAGAATGAAAATAAGAATGAAAAGAAGAAGAAGAAGAATGAAAAGAAGAAGAAGAAGAATGAAAAGAAGAATGAAAAGAAGAAGAAGAATGAAAAGAAGAAGAATGAAAAGAAGAAGAAGAAGAATGAAAAGAAGAAGAATGAAAAGAAGAATGAAAAGAAGAATGAAAAGAAGAAGAAGAAGAAGAATGAAAAGAAGAAGAAGAAGACTGAAAAGAAGAATGAAAAGAAGAAGAAGAAGAATGAAAAGAAGAAGAAGAAGAATGAAAAGAAGAATGAAAAGAAGAAGAAGAAGAATGAAAAGAAGAAGAATGAAAAGAAGAAGAAAGAATGAAAAGAAGAATGAAAAGAAGAAGAAGAAGAATGAAAAGAAGAATGAAAAGAAGAAGAAGAGAAGAAGAATGAAAAGAAGAAGAAGAATGAAAAGAAGAAGTATTCCAGTACAGCAAAAAGTGTATCTGCAGAGAGCTCCGCTATTTCTGACAGTTCTCTGACAGTTCCTTCACATTTACAGCGGTTGAAACATTGTATCTATTTATTTCCGAATAAAAACATCTGTATCCTAAATGGAAACAAATAGATACAATGTTTCAACCGCTGTAAATGAACTGTCAGAACTGTCAGAAATAGCGGAGCTCTCTGCAGTGACACTTTTGCCGGCTGATCGGGAAAAATTCGATTCGTGCACCCGAAGTTTGCTAAAATTCGGATTCGATGCAAATCGAATTTTTTCCTGATATTCGAAACGAATTCCACTTCGCCAGGTTCAATTCGCTCATCTCTAATATTTAGGATGGAACGTTGGAAGCCCGGGGGGCTTATTATTGGCCCGGAGTTACACTTATTGTTATTACGCTTTATTTTCCCAACGCCAACATTCCGCGGCGCTTTACAGTCTGGATAAATCACAAAACAAACAGGCAATGATATACCAACGGCCCATTCACACGGCCATGTCTAGAGAGATGTGTTGTGTCAATGCACATTGCCATTGCGTCTTCACTTGGGAGTTGCGGTTTTGAATGACCCCATTAAGCCCCTTGGATGGGGCCGCGAAGGCCAACACTTGACTTGAGGACCTTGCTGGGCTTTTTTTTTTCCCAGCACGCCGTTTGGCTGTGGGACTGAAACCTAAATAGCAAGGTTTTTTTTTTTGTCTGACCATTTATTTTTCCTTCATTGCAAACTTATGGCTGCGGCTCAAGAAAGGATTGATAGCCATACCAAGGGCAGACTGGACAACTCATGAGGGGGATCATGGGGCCCCTGTGTCCTTGCCCATACTAAAAAAGCCTATGAAAAAAGCCAATGAAAGGTACCAGGGGCATCTCATGGGGCCCCCCTACTGACCCCAAGCACTCGGGCAGTGCCCGAGTGCTTGAATGGTCAGTCCGCCCCTGGTTGAGGCTAAGGATCAGATGAACTGGTAATGGTTAAGTATCAGGGGCGGACTGACAACTCATGAGGCCCCCGGGCAATAGGGGATCGTGAGGCCTGGGAGGAAGGTCAGACCTGGGAGGAAGGGAAGCTAGACCTGGGAGGGAGGCCAGACCTAGGAGGAAGGAATTCTTTCGGAATTTGACCCGTGTATGGCCGGATTAACTATCCAATTTGTATCCAGGGGTGGACTGACAACTCATGGGGCCCCGGGCAATAGGGGATCGTGGGGCCCCTGTGTCCTTGCCCAAACTCAAAAAAGCCTATGAAAAAGGTACCAGGGGGCATCTCATGGGGGCCCCTACTGACCCCGGGCCCTCAGGCAGTGCCCGAGTTTCCAAATGGTCAGTCCTCCCCTGCACGTAAGGAGTAATTGAAGACTTGGTAGGTTGATTTTTTAAATCAATGGTGGTGCCTTTGGGTTACAAAACTTCAGATTTTCTAAAGAAAATTCGGTTGGCATTCGACCCGTGTATGGTCTGCATTAGGGAGCTCCCAGTACCGAGACAGGATTGTCCAGCGCCAAGGACAAGGATGCAGAACTGTGCCCCTCCCCCCCACCACCAAAGCATGCTGCAGAATGGGTGTACTGTCCACTCTCTGCCCCCTTGCTGCGCTGCAACTGGGGCACCTTCCCCCTCCTGCCCACCCTTGTCCCGGCCTCCCTGGTAGACCCTCATATTACATCGTTGTGGTAGGTTGTACAAGGATTGTAAGGCCAGCATGCACCGTGTATGGTGGCGCTAAGACTTTAAACTGGTCGCAATGTCTTCCATGTGTCTTCTCTATCCTCCCATCTCGAGTTGTGATGTTCTGGAAATGTTTGTTGCGGTAAATGAGATCCAATGATGTTTGAATTTCGCACCATTAGTGGGCCACAGGAACGGACGATTTTCATGTGACCATCGAATTTGAGTGATCGGAATGTTGAAAATGTTTTGAAAGAAGAACAAATTTTCGAATCAATGATGGAGAATCGTGCGGGAAATATAAATGGAAAAGAAAGTAGCGTGAGCTGTGACCTGGAAAGAAAAGAAAATTATTTTTTGTAGCCACGTGAGCAGGGGCGGAGTGACAACTCATGGGGCCCCCCGGGCAATAGGGGATCATGGGGCCCCTGTGTCCTTGCCCAAACTCAAAAAAGCCTATGAAAAAGGTACCAGGGGCATCTCATGGGGCCCCCTACTGACCCCGGGCCCTCAGTGCCCGAGTTTCCAAATGGTTAGTCTACCCCTGGGCCATACCCAAGAGCTTGCATTCTAATGAAAAAGAAGAAGCAAGGTATTAGAAACAGGTTTTATCCTGAGCCTAACACCAGGTGCACTCATTTACATTATATTTACATTACATTATTTTTTTTTTTATTATTGCTACATGAAGTAGTCACCCTCTTGGATACAAGAACAGGAATCGTGCCAATGGGGGGAGATGGAAATGAGAGGGAATAACACAGGCAGGAAGAACCTAAATGTCAAAACATTTTGTCTAGTTTTCGATAGAGGGATTGGAACCCCTGTCAGTTCTTATTGCTGTTTGTGCCCCCCCGTTATGGAGATTCACCTTCTCTATGTCCTTTTGTGTCATTCCAGCATGGACCATGGCAAAATGGTGCTCGTGCATGCGCGCACGGCCATTTCCGCTCTTCGGGAACATGGCGCAGACGCAACACGCACGTAGTGCGCATGCGCGGCATGCGGCAAGATGGTACGCATGCACAGCGCATGTGCGGCCTATTGATTCATTAATGGGACTATTTATAGACCTGGCTTATGGCACTGGTGTGATGGCCACCCTTTCTGAAGAAGTGCTTTTGCACGAAAGGCGTTAAAGGAGCCATTACACCGTGACGTCACGCCGCCGGTACCTAGCATAGGTCCGGCGGCCATCATATATTTGTGGATGATCAGTGTATAACATTTTTTGATTACTAGTTTGTTTTTACTTTCATACCACGTGAATTATTACTACACTATGGGCTATTTCTTGGTTGGCTCTTTGGCGAGCTAACATTCATTCGTAGAACCCACCCCGGATGATACAGTAGCAGAGTCATATGTGGCACCATTCCAGAGGAGGGAGCTGTTCCATTACTGGCTGACAAGCGTTCTCCCATCCATTAAGGAGGCCTCTGGTTGGATTCTACTTGCACCCACCAAGGGAGACATCTCTGTAGCTGCATACCACCTAGAGGGAGGAGAGTCCGTTAAACGGCACAACCGATCCATTCTATTCTGAGAGGGGGACCTATGGTTATATCATTTTACATGCGTATTTAAAGATATGCATCTGGTGAGTGCGTATTTTTACTATAATATATTGGCACTAGAGATGAGCGAATCGAAGTAGGCGAAGTGGAATTCGTTTCGAATATTAGGAAAATTTCGATTCGCGTCGAATCCGAAAATAAGCAGACTTCGGATGCGCGAATCAAAATTTTTCCTAAAATGGCGGCGACATGTGCGGCGACGGAGCGGGATGTCTGGGAAGGCGCGCAGACAAGGCGCGCTGACCCATAATGCATTCATTCATGACATGTGATCGCATTAGCCAATCAGCAGCCAGCCAGCCAGCACAGTGTAATGGTCGAGCTATAAATGGCGGCCATTTTAGAATTCTCCATTTGCCTCCAGTCATTCAACAGAGGCAGACAGACCTGGCTGTATGCAGGGAGAGAGTTAGGGACAGAGAAACGTTAGTTAGGGCCACAGAATCGTTAGTTAGGCCACAGAAACGTTTACTTAGGGACACAGACATTGTTACTCAGGGACAGACAGAATTGTTACTGAGGGATACAGAATTGTTACTGAGGGCCACAGAATCGTTACTTAGGGCCACAGAAAAGTTACTTAGGGCCACAGAATTGTTACTTAGGGACAGACACAGAATTGTTATTGAGGGACACAGAATTGTTACTGAGGGCCACAGAACCGTTACTTAGGGCCACAGAAACGTTACTTAGGGCCACAGAATTGTTACTTAGGGACAGACACAGAATTGTTACTGAGGGACACAGATTTGTTACTGAGGGCCACAGAAACGTTACTTAGGGCCACAGAAACGTTACTCAGGGCCACAGAATTGTTACTTAGGGACAGACACAGAATTGTTACTGAGGGACACAGATTTGTTACTGAGGGCCACAGAAACGTTACTTAGGGCCACAGAAACATTACTTAGGGCCACAGAATCGTTACTTAGGGCCACAGAAACGTTACTTAGGGCCACAGAAACGTTACTTAGGGCCACAGAATTGTTACTTAGGGACAGACACAGAATTGTTACTGAGGGACACAGAATTGTTACTGAGGGCCACAGAACCGTTACTTAGGGCCACAGAAACGTTGCTTAGGGACACAGAATTGTTACTCAGGGAGGACAGACACAGAATTGTTACTGAGGGATTACAGAATTCATACTGAGGGACAC